GGTCCATTAGACTTGGACCAGGTTGAACAGACCTCCTGGGTCCCCATCCTACTCTCTGCACCCCACAGGCTGAGGAATGGGAGCATCAGAGACCAGCAGCAGGCTCTGTGCTACCTCTGGGCTGCTGGACACTCTTGATAAAGATATGAAAACACAACACACAGTGAACATGTTTCAAAAGATCATGTGAGAAGGCAAAACATATTTTCACTTAATTTTTTTCTTTTGCAATGCTGGAGATGGAACCCAGGCTCTGGTGACGCTAAGTGAGTGCTACACTCTGAGCTCTACCTTGAGCCCCTCAGTTAAATTTTTAAGCCATGAGAAAAACCTGACCATTTTGAGACAGTTCTTCCTTTGGAGTGTCAAGATAGCATCCGATGTCTTCTCCTTCACAGAGAGAGCAGGTGTGTTTAAGTGTTTGCAGATGCATAGGTGACAATAATAGAGGAGAGACTACAAAATTAGAGCTGGAAAATTATTGTGCATAATTAAAACATTGCTCTCCCAAAGATCTGAGGTTAAAAAAAAAAGACTTTAAGAACACTAAAACCTGAGGGGCTCAAAATGAGAGAGATGAGCTGTGTAAAATATTAATGAAGTCAAAAGGTTTGATAGAGTTTGAAACTAAGGTAAACTTTTATTATAATTCACCTTTAGTGAGGTTGAAGGGAGACCCCCGAGGCCACAATAACCCATCTGTTTTAAGAGAGTTTGTCCTTAATGGAAGATTTTTAACTGTCAAATGTCGGCAATCTTTTTAATTTAATAGTTTGGAATTATATTCTTTTCATTGCAAGGTAATTATGCATGACTGAGGTTCATTTTGGGCCACTTATGTCTCGTTTTCCTCAATGTCATGTGAAGTGTATTAGTGCATCATATTAGGAAAACCCAGCTTTGGAACCATTGTTATGATCACCTCTGACTTTTCTTGTGTCGTGATTGGGTGTGGAGCAATTAACTCCAGCTAAATGGAGCAGATCAGGAGGGGAAGAGCCCGCAGTTGTCAGATGTGCTGGTTGGGCATCTCCTGCAGAAACTGGAATTACTGTAATGCCCCTGGGGAATGGCTGCCTCTGCCAACAATGCTGTGGCCTGAACAGAGCCATAGACATTTCTGTACCCATAAGAACATGGCTTAATGTGCTCCTATCATATCAATATCCTGATTTTCCGGAGCAGAGATGGGATATACAGAGAAAGATGTGATTAGACATAAAACATAGCTGGGTGTGGTGGCACACACCTGTGATCCCAGTACTTATCGGGAGGTTGAGGCTGGAGGATCACCAAGAGTTCAAGGAGATTTCACAGCCAGCCTAAACTACATAGTGAGACTCAGTCAAAAAAAAAAAAAGACATTAAAACATGATAAAATATATCAGCTATGCAGGTGTATTCTCTCTTCCAGCTACAGTGTAAATATCTCATTGTTTATTTTATTAAGTCAAGATAAAGACTGAGACAAGAGATGAATTCTGCAAATTATCTTGGCCCAGGAGAGCCTGCCAGAAATGTCAGGAGTTCTCAGCAGTGAAGCACACAGGAATGAGGTAGTGGGGGTGGGGAGTGGGGGTTTCACCTGGAAACCAGGCAGGACTCAACTGGCCCAGCAGGGCTGAAGGCCAGGTAGGCAATCCAAGAGACTCAAGTCTCTATGCTATAGGGACCAATACCTGGTCTGCTTTGCTGCTGAAGACCACTGGCCTTCCTGATTATCACCCATCTTGGAGCCTGGAGTAGAGAAGAAACTCCTAGTGGGCTCAGGAGGGAGGGAGGGTAGGTATGGACCCGCTCAAGGCAAATGGTTTAGTCCACGTGGTGGGTCTTCCTTAGTTCACCTCCTAGCTAACTGGAATGCTGTTTATTTATATTTCATTTTCTTACTCACCTCACAATGGTAGGAGGAAGTTTCCTAAGATATTCAGCCAACCCAAGAACTTTGTTGTGAAGAACTGAGATGCGGGGGTGGGATGGGAAGAGGGAAGGAGGAGGTCCCCCTGGATGCCTTCCCTGGCATCTGAAGACTTTCTGCTGTTTGGCCCATCACCCCAAAGGCTGCCTGTGCAAAGCTCTGGAGTCTCTGGGAACAGTCTAACCTTTCTTCATTGCCAAGCATCTGGAATCTGCTTCACTCTCGAGGTCCCTTCAGCCCGCTAACGATGTGTTTGCTGGACCGTTGGTGACAGTGATGTGCTGTAGACGATGTGGAGCTGGGCACCCTGCAATGTCCAAGGAATCTCCCCTAACAGGTGCTCCCCAGGCTGCTGGAAGGATGGCAAAGAAGTCCAAGATTGGCAGTGGCTCCTCTTCCAGGGCCCCCTAAGTGGGCTGGGGGGAAGGGCTGCACAGACTGAGGAGTTAAACTGGGGAAATTGTGTGGTGTATGTTAGTGTCCAGGAGTGCCTTTAGAATAAAGTCCCCCATCCTTACAGTATCTTCCAAAAAGCTTCCAAATCAGAGAAAAATAATAAAGATCCTTTTCAGGACAAGGAATTTTGTGCAAAAAGGAAAAGGGCCTCCCTTTCTCCCAGATGCAGCACCTGCCAGGTAGATACTTCTGCTCTTCACTGTTTTTTCACCCATGTGCTTGATGCACACAGTCACACGTGGTGACTCTCTTCCTGGTTCCTTATGACATGGCCCCACAGCGCCCTCTCACTTCATCTCTCACTGCCACTTTCTTTATTTTGACATCAGACACCTTCCATGGCTCCACCGTGCCACCAGCTCTGTGGGACGCATCTCCTGTGTTGTTACCTGCCTCAGTGGTTCACTCTCTATCATTATTGCTGAGCAATAGCTCATTTGTATGTGAACTCTGGTTTGTTATTTAAAGTTCTACTGATGGACACCAGAGTGGTTTCTAGTCTGGGACCATTATGAAAAACAGCTGCTAAGAGCATTTTTTTCAAGGCTTGGTATAGACATGCATCTTCATGTCTCTTGGGTAAATACTAAGTGTGGAATTACAGGTCATATGCAAAAACAGGGCTGGGAGAGCCTGAGATCACACCCTGGCCTCCTCACCCAGGCTGGAGGAGAGGCCATGTCTGTGCACTGCGGGTGATTTGGTAGGGACACACAGTGGCAGGACTCCACCTCTGGACTCAAGCTGTGGGAGGTCTCCTGCTCTGAGCTCAGCCCTGTCCATTGGAGGGTGGCAACAGGAAGGGAGTCTCACCTGCAGCATCCGTGATAGACCCATTCTACCTGTCCCATTCACTCCCTGGGATGCTGCTTCTCCTCTCAGGGGACAAAATCCTTCACCTGCTTCTCCTAAGTCTGCTATAGTACTCCCTAGATCTCCCCTCCTGGGCTTAGACCAACCTAGTTGGGGTGCACTTTGCACTCAGGTTTGGTCTGATACCCTCAGGCTGAGTGCTCACAGGTAAAGTCCTGAAATGTTTTGCATTTAAATGTAGCTATAACTCTCTACATGTTAAAAATGTCATTTGGATCCATTATAATATTTAGTACACAAGAACATAAATATGTCACAAATCTTATAAAAATGCACACTTTCATTGGAAATACATCTCTTAATGAGAGAGATGAGACTTTACATATTATTTCCTCTATTTATATGAGTATTTCTTTTTGCTAGAGTTCAACATCAATTTTCTTTTTATATTTTTATGACCATAAACACTGAGGTACTTTTAAAAAATTAAAGTTTTATTTTATATAAATGTTATTCAATTAGTGATCTGCCAAAGTCACATAGTGGTCTACAATCACAATTGCTTTGAATGATTTATTAGCTGGTTGTGTGACTGGTTCTTAGTGATGTTTTCTGCTGTCCTTCTGCTTTGGCACCCTGGAAGTTTTCATTCCCCGGGGGAAGAGTATCATGGGAAAGAGCAGAGGTGTGGAACAGGGAATGGGAAAGGAACCCACAGCTCCATCTTTTTTTTATTTTTTATTTTTTTTATTTTTATTTTTTATTTTTTTTTCACAGCTCCATCTTTAAACATTGTTCCTTGAAGGCTGTCTACATTCAGAAAAGAGAACACACAAAATTGAGGCTCCTCCTGTAGCTCTGCCTGGTTTTCTTGCAAAGCCGCTGCACATTCAGAGCTGAGTGTTCCACCTGCTCCTGGTTTTTGACCCCACCTCCCCAGCCCACCTTCTCCGTCTTGTACGTTGAAAGACAACCTTGGGCCCCTAGGCACTGCCCCACCTCTCATATTTTCTAGGCCCATAGAGCCTCAAACTCAGCATGGCTTCCTCCTCTCCACCTAACAGGCTCTTCTTGGGTTTCTCTCCAGACAGTGTGTCCCTCGCCCACTTGGGTCATTCTCAGGCCACTGGTCACTGTGCGTTTGTTTTTTCTTTTCTTTTCTATCTGCAGAATTAGAGATCAAGCCCAGGGCCTCGCCCATGCCTGGCCCACACTTTACACTCCTTGCCCAGGGTAAGGGGTTGCTCTCTTGATGCCTCTCAGATCCACCATTTTGTCTCCATCCTCCTGATCTCCACCCTAATTTGGGTCCCAGGCATGTCTCTCCTAGTTACAAAGGATCTCAGGATCTCAAAAGCACACTCGCCCGGCTCTGTCATTTCTGGCCCTCTCGCACCCTGTTCCCGGCCTCTTCTCTCTACACTGCAGACTCAGCTGAGTGGGTACCTTGCTTCGGGTCCTCCTGCCCACAGGATGAGGTCCGCTCTTCTTAGCGTGCTTGGAGACATGGCCCTCTGAGACCCACCCCTCTGCTTCCAGCTTTCCCGCTCTGACTATGGATAGCACCCTGCTTCAGTCAAAACACTACATCCCTTCCCCGACGACTTCTCTTCGCTTTTCCACCCCATCCCCTGTGCTGGGTCCTGTGCCCAACTCCTCGTGATTTCCTCTGCCAGAGCCAATGGAGGTGGGGTTTCTGGGTGTCCGCGACTGGGGCTTCTCAGTCCCGTATCCAGCACAGGTGCGGGGCTCCGCTGCAGTTCTGGCCGGCATAGGGAGGGGGCGCCCGCCGAGGCTCCGAGGTTGCCCTGGGCGACCGGCTGTTGGGGAGCAGCCAGCCCAGACCGGCCATAGGAGCCCCAGTAATCCAGAGTCAGCCTAGATACTGATTCCTAGTTTTTTTGTTTGTGTGTTAGGATGAGTTGAGTTGTCAAAAGGTAAGCTTATTCATTCCTACGCTCATGTGAATGTAAGGGAAATGTATAGCAGTATTTTCTCTACATATTTTGGAGCTAGACAGCTCTGGTTTTTAGTCCTGGTTGTGCTACTTACTAGCTATGTGGCCTGTCAAGTCCTGGATGTCCTGTTTCTCCTCTGTGAAACGTTAACAGTACCTTTCATAAACCTGAAATGAGATGGGGTTATATAGTTCTTGGCATAAGTCGTGGCACCTAGTGGGTTTTCAGGAAATAATTCATTTTCCCCTTAAGAAATCCTTGGGTTACCTTGAGCACTTCCCCGACACACCCTGCTCTCTGTTGTGGAATGACCTCTAGGTCCACTCTGGCCTGGGACCCACCTGAGGCAGCCTTCACCTACTTTTCTGTCTTCCGCTCTGTGCTAGGCACATGACAAGAGGTCTCTCGGTGTCTGCCTGGGCTAGAGCTCAGCCCTGAGGCGAGAAAGGCAGTCTCTTGGGGCTGCTGTGGCCTGGAGCCAGCTCTTCCTGGCACATGGTGGCCCATACTACTTGTGGGCAGGAGACTGCAGGCTGGGACTGGCTGTCCAGGTGTAGCTGGCAGGGAGGTCACAGGAGCACAAAGGGTGGATGGCTGCAATCACCTGCCTCTGAGCCTGCAATCACCCACCTCTGAGCCTCTGCAGTCACACTAGTCTCTGTTGGGGGGATTAAGGGATTAAGGCACCTCCCTGAGAGGCCTTCCTAAGATTGGGATGATGAGTACATTTCTCCAGGATGCCAGGCCACCCAGGGAGGAAGGAGGAGCTGACGCTCTTGGCTTTGTGCACTCAGAGTGTTGGGGTGCTTCTGTAAGGCTGTGGGTGGGGGACTTCTGTGTTGATCCCCTTCATGGGACCGAGAATCCCTCTGCATCTGGGTGAAAACCTGTCCCTGCCATGGGGATGCAGCTCCGGGGATCTTAAAGTCCCCAGTTTGGCCAAATGTTTGTGTCTTCTGGGTCCTGTTTGTGACTTTTTCTTTATATATGTGATAATTGTAGGCTGAGAAAAAGGATGTAGGAATAGAAGATCCTGGAAAGCCCCGAGTTTTTCTGATGTTGGAGCAGAGGGGCTGCTGAAACCGTTACCAGAGATGGAGACAGGATACCGAGGACTGCAGGATGGGGGTTTCCTTTGGAAGTCACCTTGCACTAGACAGAGGGCTGCCTCCCAGGGGCACTGGGAAACACAGGCTGCACTGACATTCAAACTTGAAGGAGCTTCTATTTTTAAAAAAGTTTTATCATGAAAGAAATTAACATAAAATAGAATGAGTAGTATATTGGAATCTCATGTGCCTCTCATGAATTTCCAATATCTTGCCTATTCTTATTTCTCCTCTCCAAATTTTTTTTGCCATAATAGAAACAACTCTACTAGTTTATTTTAGGAAACTACTAAGACCTTATATAAAAATCTGTGATAAGAATCAAAGGGTTCTTAGGGCAGGGAGGGGATCTGGAGATGCTCTGGCCAACTTCCTTAGGTGACAGGTAGAAAATCTGAGGTCTAAGAGGAGAGCCAGCCCTGAGGCCAAGGCTGACTCTGGCTGGAAACCAGGCCCTAACTTCTGAATCTGGATTCATCCTGCACTACACAGTGAAGCATGCAGGCTACTGCAGCAGAGCTGCTCTGAACTAAAGAAAGTAGCAGAGAGCCCTGCAGGGTCCCTACGTGCTGGGAAGAGGATGGAGCAACTCACAGGGGCACAGGGAATTGCCATCCATGCCTAAGTCAACTCCATTTGGTCCTTACTTCTAGGAATGGTGGTCTGGCCACCATGAACCCTGTGGGAGGTTCAGGACAAGGAATTGAAGCCAGTGGCAGAGGTGGACCTGCATCGACGTCTTGGAATGTCTTTTTGCAGCCCAGGCCCTTCTGTCTGCTTGGCTAGATCCCTACAGGAGAGTGGGCACCCACATCTGGGTGCTCACAGCTGGGCCTTGCTTTCTGAAGCCCAGCAAACATTTCTTGCAGCTCTATCCTGAGAGGAAAAAAAATCCCAGTGAGGACAGTAGATTTGCAAGGGGAAGAAATATGTCTCCTTGATAAGATGCAGTCACTGACATAGTACTGTGGCTCTGGGATCAGGACAGAGAATGTGGATGTCTTCCCTGGGGTGTCTGGAACTGACATGGGCAGGGACAGGGACACTTTGGCATGAAGCCTTGTCTGGAGTGAGCCTCTCTCACCACCTGTCCACACAGCATCTTGGGGGGTAGGGACTCTACCCACAGGGTCCTGCAAAGTACTGGGGTCACATGTGCTCTAGGTCCCAAATATTTAACTTCCAAAGGCTTAGGGACACCAGTGCAGCCAGCAGGGAGCAGGGCTGGGGAGACCTGTGCTTCAGAAGGCTGAGTGGGCCCAGGTCCAGAGCTACTCTTCAATGCTTTCTTGGGGTCAGGGATCCTCAGAACACATTTATCGTTGCTGTTATTTACCCAGTTTATGACAAAGGAACTGAGAAACCTTCTCCATGGCCACAGAGCTGCAATGAGACCACTGTCAAGGAGCTGCATGTGAGACAGTGAGGAGCAGATGGCCCAGTGACGCTGTGACCATTGCAGTGTGTAAGCCCCTGTGACACAATTACCTATTAACACATCCTCAGCCAGGTCCCTGTTGGTAAGCAGCACGTAACTGTTTATGCATATGCAGTGCATGCATTATGGCAGCACAAAAGTGCACATTTGCTTGTAAAGTGCCAGTTTGTTAAATATAAACTTTATAGACTTTGATAGACTTTACAGTCACCTTTGAAATAATGAAGTTGCCATCTTCCAATTTGATATTTTATCTGTCTAACAGACAGCAAATGTTTCATCCTTAGTTTGCGGGTTGATCAGACCAGCCTGTGGATCTTCCCTCTGACCGGCAAGATTGCTGACAGTGCAGTTCAGAGCAGTCACCCACATCAGACTGCAAAGCCAAACCCTGTCACTTTCAGAGTTGCACCAAACAGAACAATCTAGCTTATCATGCTGGATTTGTTTTCAGATGGTTTCAGAGATGCCAATAGTGCACATTTTTCCTATTACAGTCAGTTCATGGTCTAGCTTTTAATACATTTAAAGTAATAGTGTGTGTGTGTGTGTGTGTGTGTGTGTGTGTGTGTGTTGAGAGACAGGGACAGAGGAACTCAGCAAAAAAAAAAGCTCCCCTGTCTTCAGTTATTTTGTAAGATAAAAGAATTATCTGTTGAAGCAGACATTATTTTTATCGTCTGTTAATTTGCTATTTTCTTCGCCAAAAAGTTAGTCTTCCCTTTTAGTGAAATATTCTTCACAAAGCCAAATGGGCATGATCTAATAACTCTGCTTCTAGGCATATATACTCAAAACACTGAGAGCAGGGACTTGAATAGATACTTGTATGCCAATGTTCACACCAGCAGTGTTAACAATAGTCAAAACATAGGAGTTAACTGGGGTAGTGGTGCATGCCTACAATACCAGCTACTTAGGAGGCTGAGGCAGGAAGACAACAACTTGGAGACCAGCCTGGGCAACTTAGTTATGAAATGGCTGGGTATGTGGTTCAGTGGTAGAGTGCTTGCTTAGCATGTGTGAGGCCCTGGATTCAACACCCAGTGCTTCAAGAACAAAACAAAAGCAAAAACACATACACAAACAAACAAAAAACATAGTAGCAAAGCAAGTGTCTTCCTGTGGATGAATGGATGAACACAATGTAGTAAATACATAGGTAGGCTGTGATTTAGCCTTAAAAAGGCAGGGAACTCACACATGTTAAAATACAGGTGAACCTTGATGACATTATATGCTGAATGAAATAATCCAGGCACAAAAGGAAAAATATTGTGTTATTCCACTTATCTGAGGTATCTGGGATACTCAAATTGATGTGGAAAGTAGAAGAATGGTTACAAGAGGGTGGTGTGGGGAAGGTGAAGCGTTATTATTCTTATTATGTTTATGGTGCTAAGGATTGAACCCAGGGCTTTGTGCATGCTAGGGAAGTGCTCTAACTGAGCTATGTCCACACCCCAAGTTATTGCTTACTAGCTATAGAGTTTCAGTTGAAGATGACGAAGGTGTTCTGTAGATGGATGCCAATGGTTGCACATCAATGTGAATGTCCTTAATGCTACTGAATTACACACTTGAAAATGGTGAAAGTGGTAAATTTTATTATTACTTTTGCAATGCTGGGAAGTGTATATCAGGATTCTGCATGCTAGGCCAGGACACTACTACAGAGCTCTACCCCACCCCCTCCAAGTACATTTTATATTATCTATATTTTGCCACAGAAAAAGGCAAATGGCTTTTCTGCTCAACACTTGTATTAAAACTCAATTCTAGCCTGTTTGCTGCAAATCCCATGTACTGCCTTATTACAGGGCAATTCATTCCAACCAATCACAAGGCAGGCTCAGGAACTCCATTACTTTCATGTATCACTAAGGAGATGCACGCTGCCCACATCACTGGGAAGCCACAGAAACATGCGCCCTGGCCACATGTGAAAGCCACATGTGCTCTAGCAAGGAAGCAAGAGACTGGGGAGGGGTCAGGTTGCTCTTGTGGGAACCAACTCACTTGTGCCAGAGTTGACTCCCTCTCCTGAGATGGCGTTGCTCACCCATGAGGTAGAGATTGCCATTACCTGAGTCCTCCCCACTGGGCCCCATCTCCTCTTAAAGCTGCCACACTGAGGACAGAGTTTCCATCATAGGGACAAGCCATGTCCAAACCATAGCACTGTTACCAAACTTAAAAACCTTGAGGAAGGACCCAGATTAGCCCTGGTTGGGTCAGATACTTACATCAGGACCAATAAAAGATAATCAGGGTGTTGGACTTTGTTTTTTAGCAAATCTGATGCCCCCGGTTGGAACCTTATAATTGCAATTGGTGAGTGGAAAGTTTATCAGAAAAAGAGAGATGCTGTTTCTAAAGAGGAAAAGGGTGTATGGCAGACAGGCATCAGTGATATAGACACCTCACCCAGT